TTATTATGTTACATGTATTTGATGGGCTTTAAATTTTATTAATAAAACTCTCTATAAATAATCCAATCACATTTTTTTATAATTATTTGATATCCAATATTACTAAGCTAGATTCAATTAAAAATAGTCCTTTTAATGTCATTTTTAGTTTAGAGCATCCAGTAACATGCTCATGAGCCTGTTTTATATTGAGTTGAGAAAATCAAGTGTCCAATGATCTTTTAACATTATTTTTCCTATTAAAAATTGTTAACCTTATTTAAAAGATAATTGAATTTTTTTGACTTGGTTCCATCATAGTTGGTGAATTAAATTAACCTCGCTTTATTTATTAACTTAACTAACTCGTTTGGATTCATCTACCTTTGTAATTTCTCTATGTAAGGTCTAATTCTCATCCTTATCCAATTCATTATTAAAAATTCAATCAACTAATGTCTTATCCAATCCATGATCTAATAGCGCAACAAAAAACTATGACAAGAACATACAATTTATTTGAGAGCTCCAATCAAGCAATAATTAATCAAAGAGTTTTTGATTTCCATGGATCTCTCAACATCAAGCACGAATTTAGAGATTGTGGAAATAGTTTTGACCACTTATATTATCCTTGACATGGACCAAACATGCACAAAGTCACAACAATGATTGGAATCTCTTTAGTGTCGTTGATGATAAAGTGCAAAAGAAATCTGCCAAACACAGCCTTATAACACTCATGTACATGCAACAAGAGCCTTATTGATGACAATCACTAATAATGGAATCTTCATTTTGCATCGTGGATGTTGCTTTCACCAAAGAAAATAGGTCCACACCCACCTAAAGACTTTGAAAGAGATTAATCTAAGACTCGTTTGGTATATAAATGTCATTAGTGGTTAAGCTAAGTGAAAGTGTCACTTTATAAGTAAGATCTCGAGTTTGAATTAAGTTAATGGAACTAATCACATTAGAGGATTCTAATTACAATCCTAACACGATTTGATCATGACTAATTTGAATATGGTTCAATATTATAGTTTTGAAAAATATTACCTTCATATCAAATTATAAAACAATTTTAAAAGTAATTCAGTGTTATAAAATATAAGATAATTTAACAAAAATAAGGTTTTATTAAATGTATTTTTCCAATATTATTCTTGCCTCCTTACTCTCTCTCTCTCTCTAATAATTTAAAGTTATATTAAATGAAGGATCTTTTTAAAAATTTTTATTTTTATTTTAAAAAAAGTTGTAAAGTGTATTTAATAGACTTTATTATCATACATAATTTTGTTTGAATTTGTCTTATAAATTAGGATGAAGAAAGTAAGTAACAATAAATCTAATTCGAAAGGTCTACCATTTATCTTAGAGAGAATTATATTCAAAGACCACTTGAGTAAAATATTCATAGACAATGACCAACAATAAGTTTCATTTCAGAAATAACCAATTACTTTTCCATTTTAACAACAATTTATTTTATATTAATTCTTATTTGTCAATAATTTTCTTGAATAATCCTTAGATGTGATTCTTCCTTTATCTTATGTCACTTGAGCTATAACTAGTCTCAAAGGTTTAAATTGAGGACACTCTTGGTCCCAAAAAAGCAGATAAAAATTAATAAGTAAATACAATAATATGTACATATATACAATATTTGGTCTTTATCAAAAGGTACTTTTTAAAAAAATATTATTTTTATTATAAGTCACTTGATAAGATATTAATTAAATTATTTCAATATTTTTTCAATTTAAATAATTAATTATGAGAGATAATATAATAAAATTTTAAAAAAATTCTGTTTACGTACAGGTAAAATAAAAAATATATTTTTAAATAAAATTAATGATTTAATTATCTTTATTTGAAATGAAATAAGTAATAAATATTGTTAAAAGAAAGAAAGTCCCTTTTCTTTTTAAAAAAAAAAACTGATAGCAGAGAATGAGCTTGTGAGAAGCATAAATTGCCTGGATTTCTAGTGTTGAATGGCATGTGATTGGCCTCATTAGAACGTTGAAAGTGATATGTTAGAAGGATGGGACATCTAAGATGTTAGGGCATGTGGGTATGCTTTCAAATTGTTTGTCATTTCATGCATAGTATTAATGAGTAGCAAACAATACTATTTCTTATACATTTTATATTTTATATATAGATAGATGGATAAACCTAAATATAATGTTTGGAGTTAATGTCATGTAGCTTTAACCAAGTGACTTTAAAAATAGAGAAAATAACAAATAAGCCTCATTTAAAAATGTGAATTACAAATAAGTTCTTGAATTTGAGTTATTACCATAAAGTTTCAAGGCACCTTGATGTGATTTTTAAAAATATGTGAAAAGACATTGTAACCCTTTGATCAAAGTTGCCCCTCCCGCATAGATTGGTTTGACTTTTTGACGTTGATTGCCAAACTGACATTGACCAACAACTAAAAGGCCAAAAAAAAAAAAAATTGGTACATGTTTGATTTATAGAAAAGTGTTTTTTTAGGGTAAAAAAGGGAGATGATATATCTAAAAAGAAAAATGTGATAAGTGTATTTTCCATTTTTTTCAAGACAATATTTTTCTACCTATCAAATATTAATTATATAAATGTTCATGTTGGTTGCTGGACAGTCACCCTTTTTTATTTTTTTCCCATCTGTTCTTCTAAAAAAATTTCATCTAATAATAATGCAAAGGCGCCAATATTTATTATATTTATAATGATTTTGTTTAAAAAATACTTTATAAAAAAATCAAAAGAAAAAACCTACACAAGTTTGAATAACTTGTCCAAAAATACAAATAGAATCGACCAATTATAAATTTCTCAATTTGACTCACAAATATTGGAGAAGGACTAGTAGATCATGACAAAATGGGGAAAAAAAAAAAAGCTGTACTTTATTTCTGAGGTAAAAAGTATCAAAAGATAATTTTAAGAAATAGATTGTGAACAGAAGAGGAAAAAGTTTAAATGGATTTTGTAAAATTTGATTAATCTATGCAACAAATACTCATCAAGAGTTATAAATTTCACAACTTGACGTCTAAAATATGGAAGAGGAATTGTAACAAAAAATAACATTTAAAAAAATTAATAATCATAATAATATTATAATAAAATATTGTTAAAATATTACTATAAATTTAATAAATAATACTTTCTTAATTAAAAATATAAGACATTTTTTAATGAATCTCACCTCCTAATAAAGTAGTTACTTATTTTCAAACTAACTCTATCTTTTTATATTTACTCCTATTAAACACCCTACAATAAATATAAAGTCATTATCAATATGAACACTTTTTAATAATTACAATCAAAAGACTAAAAAAGCCTTATATTTTTTAACATCTAACTCCTCAAAAATATTTTATATTTTTAAACTGAAGGAGTAGATAATAGATTGTCTGATCGCCATTAATAACGATTGTTTGATATCAAGTAACCTTCCAATGACCATCTAGCATTCAAACCGGTCAAAAATAGGGGGTCAACCTTGGTCAAAGGGTTAACATGCCTTTTCACATATTTTTCAAATTACATTTAGATTTCTTGGGGCCTCCTGATAATAACTGAAATTTGGGGAACTTATTTGTAATTAACATTTTTTACGTGAGGCACATTTGTGATTTTCGCTTATAAACATATCCTGATGTAGAACCACATGCCAATGAAAGATGTTGCAAAACATGATGTTGTCCCAGTGGACAGAACATTGAAGAGATGCTAGAAAGTTGCATAACATGGGGCATGTGACATGTGGCATGCATGCAGGTGCATGAAGGTGTATATGAATATAATACCCTCATCGGTAAACTCAATCTTGTGTGGGATCCTTGCTTATGGACCTGTCTGCTATTGCTACACCCACCCAGACATGATAAGATTTTGGGTTGCAATGTCCTTCCCTGAAGCATCCAAATTTACTGTTATGTTTTTATTATATCCTTCTGCGCATCATGAAGGAAAGCTTCCACTTTGTTCCTAACTAAACTTTTTTTTTTTTTTTATGCGTGAAGAATCCTGAGTCTGTCCCGCATCGAGTTGATGGAACTTTAATGCGACTCAGATCAATCTAGATCATTTTTGACGGAAGCCTATACCAAGGTTGCTGATTTATGAGAGCTTGAACTCAAAAACTTTAACAGTTATGTTGTTATATGGTAATCATTGAACTATTTCCTAGTATAGTGTGTGTGTGTGTGTAGTTGAATATGAAACCATGCAAAATAATCATTTCTTGATGATTAAATGACTTCATTGCCCTCAGCGACTTAATGTTGTATGAGGTTGTTCTTCCCCAACCCCAAAATAAAAAATAAGACAAGTATTCTTATATTTTGAAAGAATGAAGTCGGATACACTAATCTGCCCTTGCTTTGTCCCTATTGATTTTCCCCCAAAAAACACGATAATCTTTCATACCCACAATACACAAATGCCGTCAAATGGAGAAGTCTTGGCAACTATTAGCCAAAAATAAAATGAGATGAATTGGAGTATTATAGCTGGATAGACTAACAATGTGACGCACGCAATGTATGTAAAAATTTCTCAAAGTACTGACCCCACAATTTTAAATTTGACCGCAAGTCCATGTGAATGATTAGATAGAGAATAATAATATTTTGCAACCCATATAACCAGTTTGACTAGAACAGAACTTGTTGCTACCATTGCTCACAACAGTAAGTTCATCTCAAATTCTTTTGCAAAAGGGATTTGACTTAATGAAAAACGCGGCTTGCCCAGGGACATCCAATATGATGCCGAATTCATTGACATATAAAGCTAGCATGCCAGCAATTTGACATTGAAAAGCGGTTCAGACTCAAATATACAGGGTCAGCCCCAATGTCCAACGAGTACAAACTCTACAAAGACCTGACCTTGAACACCAACCATATCACTTATGCTTAATGAAACAAGGAAAAATCCAAAATTTGAAGCACTATTCAAAAAGCTGAGCAATATCTAATGTAAGTGTTGGAACACGATTAAAAATGGAATAGATCTACATTTCCATATAGAGAAACAAAACCGTTTCACTGGATTAGTCAACAAGGGATAAATTCATCCCCTAAACAAATGTCTGCTATCGTGAGAAAGAGTAAATGAATTATGAAAAGAATGTAACTATACGTCGCTCTGTACATCGTATTTACAAAAGAATTGCATCTTGAGTTCCTAACAAATATAGGCCACTCAAATAATGGAAAGTTCATCACCTACTGCACAGTTCTGGCTTCTGAAACTTTCAAGCATATACAAATGTGAAGAAAATGCTCAGGATTTATTAGGTTGCTCACCACCCAAGAAAAGGGTATCTCCAATTTTGGCTCTATCCCTTGAATGCGAACAAGCTTGATTTTAGCATTCTCGAAGTGGGAGCAAGGTGATACAGGATCACATGAATTTTCTCCCTCTCCTGCACTTTGCTTGGTGCTTGGATCTCTCTCATCAATAAGGTTCCTTCCCGGGAAAAACTCCGGTAGAAGGCTTTCAACCGCATCTCGCAAGCTGAAGTACTTGCCTGTAGCGCAAGAGTAAATATCACCAGATAAAAACTTGGTTATAATTAGCACAAGATGATAACAATGATAAGAAATGTGACAATTTCAAGAAAATGTTGACGTATGAGGGGTGGCAATGGAAACAATGCATCTCTAACAGTCAGTGTAGTGAATAACCTCCAAGTTGCCTCGTCATTCTTGATTAATAGTGACCAGAGTGATGATTAGTGTGAAATTTCAAGAGTTAATAATACTCTAATCTGAATTTCATTGGAGACAGCGTGTACGTATGTGTATATATATATAGGGGAAGAAAGAAGCCAAACCTCCTAATGAATCCCAAACTATCAGCAGAATTTGAACTAATATTAGTCTGTAATAAAAGCTAATAAATGAGGAAAACGGAGCAAACGAATAAAAAGTTGAGCAAAAGAAAGGAAACAAAAATTGTCAGGCAAAAATCCTTTCAACAAAATGCAACTTCCCGTGATTTTTTTTTAATGGAAAAAAAGAATAAACATAGAAGAAAATCAGTTTTAATTTTAAAGGTACACAAAGATCCTCTATAAAATATGGCTTACCTTCTTCCTTGCGAACTTCAACAGGTCGATTTATATAAGAGACTTTGTCCCAACTATCAATTGGAGGTACATCTTCAAAATCATCAAAATCCTCACTGACAGTCCATACATAGAGTCGAACAGGAATTCTACCTAAAAAAGGGTCATAGTTTGTAATCTACAAAGTTTCGGAATGATCAAAAGTACAAATATGGCACCACTCCAAGTCAACAATCAAGGGAAGAAAAAATCCAAATCAGAGTTCTACACTAGAAGATGATATAGATTAAAATTCTAATTTAAAAGGGAAAACCGCATGACAATGTGTACATAAGATCTCGGAAGAAAAGAAAAAGAATAATGCAACATGCTTCCCCAGTTTCTTCGGAAAAGTAGATGTAGATTCTATTGTGGTTTAGGTAGATTGAAGTTCAAATCCTATTAAGCCAAGGTATAGGCACTGAGTTGACAACAAAAGCACATGCCATTGGAGGTTTACAAACGCAACACTACTTGACAATACATATCAAGAAGACATGCACAAAATAGAAATAGAATAAACCAAAAATGCAAACTAGAAAGTCAAGGAATCATAGAAAAAGTCCCAACATTTCCCTCTAATAAAGGAACCTTAAACCTATTGAATCCTATCATCTTGTAGCAGCCAACGTCATCATCAAACAGAAATATGTCATGAAACCCATCTAAGGCCATAAAAACAATCTCCTTAAACTTCCCTTTCAATCAGGCTTTACTGAGAGTCAACAAGTCACTAAGGATCATACCAAAAGTAGCATCTCCATGTTGCTCACCTATCTTCATTTGCGCAGCCACATCTGTCTCCCCACCACTTTGTTGAGATTTTTTTGCGTTTGAATCAATATGTGCCACAAATTCATCTCCAAAAGTTCCAAGCTTAAGCTTAGATGATACCCGTTGATAGGCATCCAAGTTACCTGCAATGAAAACGAGTGTTGACAGATAACTAATCATCCAACGCTGCTAAAACACGTAATAATACAAGGATAAGGAACAAAATTATTAAACAGCAAAAAATATCTCAATTTGTTTTAAACAGCATTCTAACATGCTGCTTTCATATCCATGAATAAACTTCTGCCCGATAGAGTAAATTTAACACTAAAAGAAGCATAATTTCTTCCCTGCAAGACTGGTTTTGGTAAGGTGAGAATTAGGTTAATCATATCCCACCATAAATTCCTTTGGGAATATAGCAAGGAAATTTTACTAGACTTATAAGTGTCAGGGAAGTTACTTTGTCCTAGAAAAAACTGAACTAAATCTAGTCAACAGAAATTCCTTTGGAACAAGGTTTTTCATTTATAGAATATAAAAACATTTAAATGGCATCCCAGAAAAAGAAATAAAAAAGGCTTATGAAGAAAGTACTAACAACAAATATCTAGCTAGCTGACATACCCTTCAAAACAGACTGCCAGAGCTCCACCTGATCAGTTTGAGACATGTTCATGACATTCTTGCAGTTCCCAATTATAATATATGCAGCCTACAGGTAAAATTCAGTTAGAAAAGTGAAAACAAGAGTAGTTAAAATTTCCCTTGTTTTCAACTGGAACAGATAGGAGGTTTCAAGAATGATAGCTGACATAAAATAGGTTGCTCTTCTTCCCCATTAGCCGCCCTTAGCTTGCTCTTTTCACTCATGGGACCTTTACACGCTAATAAGCAGATTGACACAGCACAACAACAAACTTTATTCTACTAAGTGGGGCTGGCTACTTGGATTGCACAATGCCATTGGACTCTATCAACAACCAAATCTTTGAATACATTGTTAATCAAAAAGTCTTGCTCAACCTTCATTGACTATTCTCTTCAACTTCCCCTACCCCTCTTCACTATTGCCTCCAACAACGCTCTTTGCACATGTCCAAACTATCTTAAACAATTCTCTACCATTTTCTCCTCAACACAGACACAAATACTATGAATGAAAAGTTGAATAAGGGAACTTGCTGGTGATGATGTCAACTTATTGAAAAAAAAAGAAATTCTCAATGGCACATGGAACAATGATCCATTAGGATTTTATAAAGCCTCAAAATATCCTAAATATTTACCCAAATTCAATAATAAAAGGTTAATAACCTTAGATGGATTATGTGCCTTTATATAAGCAGAACTGAAAAAATACTAAGCCAAAAGGATACAAAACCCAAACTTTTTTTTTAACCACAGATAAGAAACCCAAACTTTAGATTCAAGAAACTATATTCAGAACAGGAAATAACTGACTTGCCCTGCAAAAAAAGAAAATAGCAACCAACCCATATAATCATGCAGTTGATTATCTCAGACAAATAAACCATTTAAATTTTGGAAGTTTCTTGAAGGAAAATGAAGCATATAGACCTCATATACTGAAAAAATTCAATGGCACAATGTCAAGTGATTGCACACACAAATCCCCAACCCCCAAAGAGGAAAAAGAACACTAACCTCTTTCAATGAGTTGATAAAGCTCCACTTTACACTATCTTCATTTTCACAGGGTAGCAATATATTGCTTGGATATCCTCTAAAGTGTACCTGCAAAGACGAGAGTAGAGAGAACCAGTTTGTTTAGCAAACTCATTGGAGTAAGTAGTCTAACTTCAACACAAGCATCATCAGGATGCTCAACCTATTTTTATATTCATTACCACCTTTTCTATTGCCCCTTCAATGCAACTCAAGCACTTCCATTAAATTTGGAAACAAACATCCATGTGAATGTGTAGGAACAATATATCACAAATTTTATTGGCATTTCATGTACATTATATTTGACTGGCCCGAATATAGAGAGTTATATGAACAAGCTACAACATGACTAAGCTGATAAATCTCCTTAAGAAACGAGGTCTGGAAGACATCTTGAAAATCCTTACTGTTAAATCCCAAGGTCTTTCGGGCTCCACACATAAAAGATCAAAAAGGACTCCAGTTGGAATATACCTGCATGAGAGATGACAAATAAACAATTTTAGGATTTCAAATTCAACATTCTATGATCGAAAGCACTCTAGTCCTCTTATTAATACAATAAATAGTGTGATATGGATAATACAGATGGTAGCTCGATAGCCATGACCAAACATACAGTGCCAACAAAGGCATTGATGGCAAAGTAGTAAAAATTGGAACCTTACAAAAAAAATTGGGGTGATCATAATTCCAAACCACCATGTTTCCAAATTAAAATTACATAGGATTTCCCATGAAGAGAAGGTACAAAAATGTTAACTCATGATTAAAGAGAAATAAATCAAACAGAACCATCTAATTTTGAATATGTTGGAGTATATACACTTGCATATATAAAGACTCCATCTCCCTGAACGTTTCAACATGATATCAGTCTATCAGAGGCTAAACTCTGTCTGTCCCTAGGCTAGTGCAATCCATCTGACTATTCTATTGCTTTAGTTGTCATTCAGGATAGGTCCATCTAGTAATATTTCTTTTAACGTATTATGTCTTTTAACAAGCATCATTGGATAGGTAGCTATTAAACTATAACAATGATGCATAATGCTACCGTCAACTGACATGCATAATTAATACATAGAGATATAAAACATGCTCTTGATGAACAGATATCCAGAGTCCAATTTCCTCATATTTACAGGTTTTTCTTTATAGATTTCATTATGAGGAGAGAAATATTAAAAAAGGGAAAATGTAAAGTCCAACTAGGGTAATCAAAAAAGAAGAAGGCTAGAACGCCAATACTTATTTAAATTTGACTTGCTAAATGATACCCTATGGTTTCAATTTTGGCTATTAACCAATTTGAACATGCAATATGTGGCAAATGGCCCCTTCCATCCACTAAGAAGTAATTTAAAACATGGAAAAATAGGAACAAGTAAGATTGGTGAAACTTGATGCAAAGAATTTTGCTGCTAGGCAAATTATCACTTGAATTTATGATTTCATGAAAGATTAGTTACAGCATACCATTTCAGAGGCAATCCCCTGTATTCAAACCACATTGTATCTACCCCGGGGGGCAGTGTACTGCTGAAATGAGGCTTTATGATAGAAATCAACAAAGGCAAGTATCCAATCCGAGGAGCTAAAACCTGATCCCACAAAAGATATAAATTTATGATTACATTCAGATATACTCATACATATCCTGAAAATGTTATACCGAATCTGTGGTTAAATCAACACCTATGCAGCAAAGATTTATCATGTTACATAAAACGTGTCATTCATTTGTATTCACATTTTTCTCGTTTAAGAAACTATTGTGTTTTTCAACAAAATAACTTGGAGATGCCCTAAATAAAAGAAGTGAAGTGTGCCTCTGGAAATTAAACCCTTTTTGCTAAACAACACAAATTGTTAAAAGAATTGGGGGGGGGGGAGTACATCAAAAGTAATCACAAGCAGTTGCATTTCATCAGCCAAACAAATACAAAGCAATCAAACAGTTAAATCAGTTCTTCTCTACAGGATAGATCCTACTTTAATATCAGACTGAATGACTGTAATGCTTTGTCATGGGAAATCACATCAATATACAATTATGGGAAAAAGAAAGTTCAGGAAGCAAGGATAGCAAGAAAGAAGATAAGAAAATCCCTCAATGTGGACCCAGAGATCTCTTCATCAAATGCAAGTTCGACTCATATTACATAAGGAAACAATAACAATCAGGCATCATTACAATAATACGGAAGAAAAAACAATTCCAATAGAGACTCACAAGGGCAATAATGCTGGATGATATCACATCAAATCAATTCGGAGTAAAGGAAAAGGGCTGCTGGAAAGAAAAACATAGATTGATCAGGCTTTTGATGACTAACCAACGCATCAAGGAATTTTAACGTATTGGAGAATGGTTCACGTAGTTTACAGAGTTGACAACATTGAGCTTCATGGAAAATAGGTTGCAAAGAAGCCAGGCAAGTAGCTATTGATGAGGACTTCAAAAGAAAAAAGAAAAAAAAAAGATGAAAAAATTGCTGCATAGGGTTTCATGGTTTGACATACTAGAGCAAAGTCAATGACTTAATTACTTGTGTTGTTCTCATATCAAAATCTTCGTCTTATAAGGAAAGAAAGGAAAGTTACTACCAATTAAAATTCACCAAATACAAAAACAACTAGAATTTACCCTTGCACTAAATGCAAGAAAAGATGAAATTACATGCCAGCCAAAAATGCATAGAGCTACCACTTTAGCTAAGACATGGGTCCCCCAAGATATATAGCCATGGATTAGCATGAGTAAATCTCCAATAAAGTTTGGTCAATTAGCACAAAAAATTAAGGTTAGAAGGGATGCCGAGGCAGCAAGAAACGAAGATAAAAAATAGTCTGTCATAAATAAGTGACAGAACAGAAGTTTTCCAGAAACTGATAATACGAAAATCAAGATCAGGCCTTCAAAGTACAAGCTCAACATGAGAAGGAAACGTTTCAATAACAAAGAAAAAGGGCATTTTGGGGAAAAGAATGCAGAATACCAGGGCAGGTGGAGGAGGAGGGAGAGTGGTAACTTCTGATTCATGGAGATGAACTTGCAGCGGAATGGCCCCATCCCATACATACTTTTGTGCATCCGTCATCTATTCCTCTTCAAGAACAGGGCTATCTCGCTCTCTCCCTCCCTCTATGCAGTTGTTGGTACAATTCAAATGTGTTCAAAGCGTTGAAGAAGCAGATATACTGTCTGCTGTACAAGGGTGAATTGTGATGGTGGAGATCTGAACCTGAAACGAGTATTGAGTTAGTAAGAGATTTAAAAAGAGTCAAAGAACCCCGTTGATATATGAGTTGATGAGCTATATAGACCAAAATATGAGTTCAACCCATTTTGACAGCTCTACCAATCACAAAAGTTAAAACCATGCTTGACCATCACTAGGGCAACGAGCAAGCTCTGAACAGAATATGTACTCAATACCTAGCTAAAATCTCTAAGACAGCATGCAGGCAGGCAATGAACAGGATTTGCACTCAATTTCAAGCTAAAGAAATTATGATCAAGTTTTAAAATGACTAGGACGGCAAGCAAAATCTGAAAGAATTTACACCAAAATTACAGGCAAGGAATCAATTTAAAACTATGCTTCACAATCATTAAGACAGTGAACAAGCTAGGAAGATTATGTAGACTGCAATTCAAGCTATGGATCTGGTGAATACTTCAAGACAACCTAACGAGTTCTCACAAATTTCAGATCCAAAACAGCGAAATAGCAATAAACCACGACATGGAAACATCCAGGCATGCACACATTTAATCTCAGATCCGTTCAGGCAGTGACAACATAGGATGCGCAATAATAGTATTTTATCCACAATCACAACATACGAACAAACAGAGTCATATCAAGTTCATTATATCTTACAGCAAACCAAATTACAGCAATGACGAAAGACCGCAAGCAGAATTCACTTTATCTTCTTTAGCCATAACGAAACAATAGCAAGATCCATAGCAGAGAACACATAAAGTCCACTCAGACCCCTTCCTCATCGAACCAAGTCAAAAAGGACAAACCGAAATACAAGCGTGAAAATCAAAGAAAACCAAAATACAAGCATGAACTTACCGGTCTTCAATCGCCTCCTAAGAGCTTGACAAACGACAGAAGTCGAAGAATGTTGCGTTTGCGTTTAATCACTTGCGTATCGTTCGATCCTTTGTCTCTCTTCCTTCGGTTCTAGGTGCTTTGCTTGTTCCTAGCGGCGCTCTCACCCCACGCCGAGACGAAAACGGGAAAATTGGAGCTGAGCCAAGGCGAGGCGAAAAAGGTGTAGGGCACGAGCAAGCTTCGACCTTGGAACTTGGAGTGATCAGGGGAAATGGAAAAGACAAAGTGCCGTCGCCTCACTCGGTCACACTTCACAATTCTGGGAGTAGACGGTGAATCTGCGGTTGTTTGTTTGCTGCGAAATGCCTCCAGTGAGTCCAGGGCCCAGAACCTTTGCCTTCCATTTTTCATTTTTTATTCTGCCTTGTGATCTCGAAAAAAAAAAAGGAAAATGAAAAAAAGACAGAAAGAAATTAAAAACTTGATTTAAAAAAAAAATTGCTATTATTTTGGGCTTCCGTACGTTCGGCTGTAGGAATTTTGGACTTGAAAAACCTTTGCAAGTTTTTTTGGGCCTACAGACTCCACCAGACATGATGTCATACTTATGCAGGTACAGATGAATATCACACACACCTTTTATTAAAAAATTACTGTCGGGCTTCGCCCACTCTTATATCAAATAAATAAATACCACACCCAATTTATTATTTTATTTGATAAACTCAGTTTTTTAAAAACTGAATTGAATCGTGAATTGCATCGATCAGTTCAACCGGAAACCATTTGTTGGTTCAGTTCGGTAAACCTTTCAAAATCAGTATCAAAAAAATCAATCAACAGTTGAAAAAACCAATTGAAAATCGGACTAATTCTCTTAAAAATTAATCTGAATTAATTAAAATTTAAAAAAATTAATTGAAATAAAGAACAGTCAAGAATAATTAATATTAACCATATATTTATCAGTAATATATCATTTTATCAAGCATTTATTATTATTTTTTTGAAAAATATAAATATTTGCTTATATTTCTTGTTTAATTATAACACATGAATTAAAAATATATTAATTTAATGTCAACCGGTTTAGTCATGGTTCGACCACGATTGAACCAATGAACCGTAAATCAATTGTAAGTCTAGTTCAATGACCAATACATTTTTTAAAACCTTGAGTTAATTATATAAAGTATAAATTAATTTATTTTTATTTTTTAAGTATATAAAATTAAAATTTAAAATACTTAATAGATAGATTTTTTTAATCAAAATAGTTAATAGATAGATAGATCAGCTTTTTTTATGAAATCACAAAACACAAATTTCTAAACATGTATTCAAAGCAATGAATTGTCCTAAAAGCCAGGAAACCAACGAAAAAATGAGATAAAATAGCTTTGTATAAACCACAGACTATTATGAATCATTAAGTCCTCTTTTGACTAAAAATAAAATAGAAAATAATTTCTAAACTATTAAACCACTAAGATTTGTCCTTGTAGCTTCCAACAATATTGAACCAAGTATTCCAATTTAAATGCATGTATTACGTGACTGTCAATTACTCTTGCAAAAGCAAAGTGTTGACTATTGAAGAGGGAGAGCACAACGATCGTGTGAAGTAGTGACATTAAGTTGTAACTAAGTCAAGGTACCAACGAGAGAAAGAAGAACAAGGGAATAGGTGACTACAAGACATCGATAGCAAGAGAGGAGGGAGGGGGCAGTAATCATGTGAAGCTACAACAAGTGCAATATCTAGTGTGAAGGATTGCAATGGCAAGTATAAAGGGTAGTGGCATCACTAAGAAGAGCAGTGAGAACAACAATCTTCTATGGTTTCAATAAGTAAGAAGCAAAAGGATGGTAATAATCATGTCAAAAAGACTCGAGCCATATATAAAAGCTAAATGCAAAGCAAAAAGATGAAAACCTCTTAGATTTATGTGGAATGGCCCTACAATCTCACATCTCTTCTTTGCAAACGACCTAATCCTGTTTGCAGAGGCATCAATAGACCAAATGAAAGAATTTGGATAAGTCTAAGATTTTTGCTTCCTGTAATGTCCTCTTCAACCAAGCTTCAGAACTCAATCAACCACTGTGGATTGGAATTATCTTATATCTAGGAAAATACCTTAATGTCCCTTTCATACACAAGAAAGTTATCAAAGCTACTTTCAACCCCTTGGTGTAAAAAGTTCACAAACACCTCTTTGGTTGGAAAAGCAAATTATTAAGTATGGCAGGCCGATGCATCCTCATCAAAGCTATTCTTTCTATTATATCTAGCTACTAAATGCAATATGTCTAAAGGCATGTTAGCTAAAATTGAGCAAATTAGTACAAACTTCCTCTAGTCCCAAGATGAAGATCTCAAATGCATGCACATAGTGGTGTGGAATACTGTAATAAAGAAGAAAAAAAGGGGCTAGATTGGCATTAGGTCCTTGAAAAAAAAAAAAGCCTTTATCCCCAAACTTTGTTGGATATTTTGGACAAAACTTGACACTTTATGGGTTTGTTGCTTAAAAGCCAAATACAAATGTGATCCTAATGACTTCTTAACAATGAAAAAAGGAGGAATTCCTTACTAACAGATTAGAATGTGATGTTTGTGAAACCTTCACACAAGCCTCAAGTAAGAAAATCAATAGTGGTTTTGACATTTCTTTTTGGCTTGACCTTTAGACCCCCCTCTATAAATCACTCATCTAGAATGTTGAATGAAATGTCGATTTTCTCAATTAAAAAGACAAAGTATAAGACCAACTTCTTCCTAATAGAGCTTGCAACTTATCTTCTAGGTATAATTTTCTACCTCCTTGGGTTATTAATATTATTAAAGTTGTCAAGACCCCTGTAGGTACCAGGAATGATGATTTCTGGTGGAGGCTAGCTAAAAACAACCAATTTACTATGAACAATTCTTATGATTATCTCACTTAACCCTCTTCTAATAATAGAAATTATCTATAGGCAAAAATATGGCATTGGCAGGATCCAAAAAAAGTCAAACTCTTTGTGTGGAAAGTGTCCCATAAAAGAATTGTTACTAACTCACTTGAAGCCTTTAAAGGTCTTTCTAATAATTTTGCATGCCCTTTTCAGTGCCACAGTGAGGATAGTATACTCTACTTATTGAGAGATTGTGAATGTGCAAAATAGATTTGGTAAGGGATTTTATTACCTAACTCTATTCCTAAATTTTTTTTGGTGATTTACAAGTCTAGCTCAAGGCATGGTGTTTTTAGATCATAGCCTTAGATGCATGTTTTTAATATAGTTTGTTAGGGACTTTAGATGTCTCATTGCAAATTTGTCTTTGAAGGTTAAAGTCCCATACCAAACAAGATATTTCACAAATGCATCCATCTTTTGTCAGAGCAAGTGGTCAACAACAAGTTGGTATATAACTTATTCCAAGATACAATGTCCATGGAAGACGTCTGGACCCTACCCCCGAGCAATTATGTTCGTGTTGATGTTGATGGGTCTGTCCAAAACTAATAGTATGCAACTTGTGGGGGAGTAATCAAGAACAATAAAGGTGAATGGCTACTAGGCTTCTATAAAAAATTAGGCCCTTAGTTAGATTACCAATGCTAAAATCTTAGCGATCAAGGTAGGACTAGAAGTTTGTCAAAAGCCAAATTTCAGCAGTATCAAAATATACTTAGACTTTATCAAAGCTATCAATATATTAAAATGCAATCAGGCCTTAAATAATCCATTGCAAGGTAATATAGCCTATATTAGACATTCCATCTTCCTAATGAGGGCATAACATTATAGCATTCTCACAGGGATATCATTAGATGCACATATTTCATGGCCAAAATGGGCCAAGTAGGTCCTCCTAAGATGATTTTACTACCCTGAGTTCCTAACGAATGTCTTGATATGTATTTTGGGGATTAATGTTTCGTTTAGCCTCTAATTTCCTTGTTTTGTTAAACTCTTTCCAAGCTTGGCTTGCCCTTGTAATTAAAAAAAATGAGCAAGAAGTAAGAGAAAGAGTCCTCTACATTTTTCCCTTTCACTGAAAAAAAAATATTACAAAGCATGAGACTAGTCTTAGCACCTGAAACAACCATATGGGAATGAGGGATTTTGATTTTATGTTAGGGGTAAGCAAAACTGAATCAAAATTAAAAATTAAATTGAATCAAATTAATTTTGATCTATTTGATTCAATTTATTCAAGTATTCAATTTGATTTAGTCTGAAAATTTTTAAATTGAATGGACTAAATCAAATGACTTATCACATGCATATACAATTATATATTATTAACTTATAAATTATATATACACTTTATTACTTTATTTTATTTTATATTTTTATACTTTAAAACGTAGATCTATAACAAATATATGTCTAAAACCCTAAAAAAGGTGCATAATTTAGATAGCCTTATCAAACTTTTGTCTACCAAGTATTTTCATATTTTTACTCCCCTCTAATTTGTTTATAAGCCCATTATACACACACACACACACATCTTTGAGTAGACATTCCCCCTTTATTAATTTGAGAAGACAGGCCATAATTCATAGTAGGGAAGGCATTCAGGATCTGCATTGACCAAATCTCATTTATATATATATATATATATATATATGTCTTTATTAGTTTTTTTTATCAAAAAATACAATGGATAAAAAATTAGTAATATAGGTTCTGGTAGCTCAATATAAATCCTAAAATTGAATTACATCATTAAAATTTGATTTGATTCTAATTTAATTTGATCAACTAGTTTGGTTTGATTTAGTCCAAATTTTAAATGTTATTCAATCAATTGGTTTTGTGCATTTTGGCATCGAATCAAATTGATCACTTCCATTTTGTGCACTCAGATTGCCATTTAATTCCATAGCTTTCAATATATTTTTTCAAAAACAAAAAAATATTAAAACTCATATTAATTAAATAAATTGTCTACTTTATTCATATCAATTTTTAAATTTATTATTAAAATATTCATGCATCCTCACAAGTGCAAAAGAGAAAAAGTTGTAATAAATAATAAGATTGTGAAACTTTTAATCTTTTAAGCTTGCCTTAGTTATCAATTTGGTCCTTTGCATTTAATTTTTATCAATTTAATTTTCTACACTTTCTTAAATTATTATATGAATCCTTTTAAATTTTAAAATACAAATTGACTCACAAAATAATTTAATGTACAAAGTATATTAATGACTTGACATGTATGTATCACTAAATAGGAATAAATTAACCCTTAAATTAATTTAATTTTTTATTGATATAATCTCTTACACTGAATTTGATTATTTTTTTCTAAAATTTAAAATTTTTTATTTTTAAATAATGATATTTATTTTCATTAATCTACATGGATGCGATCAATGTTTTATTATCCATGTTAATAAACTTTAATAGTGTAATTTCCTTTTTAAATAATAATTAATAAGGACTAAATTGATAACTAAAATAAATTTAAGAAATTGAATCAATAAAAATTAAAGGGGTAAAGTAACTTTTACTCCTCCTTGTTTAGGTGTTCTATCGATTTGGTCTCCTTAACTTTAATTTTCATCATTTCTATCCTTAATATTTACTTCAATTATCAAATTGTTTCTTTAAGTTTTGTAAGACAAAATATCCTATAAAAATCTAGTGTGAAAAGTAGACTGTTGGCGTGGAATTTACATGTGGATAAAATAAAATACATAAGCCAAATGTAGCAAGTCCTAATTACTAATCTATTTGGTATAATGAAAGTAGGAGTAGAATTAGAAGTGAAATTGAAAGTAGAGTTGGAAGTGAAAGTTGGTTTAAAAGTATGTTTGGTAGAGTGATGGAAGTGAGATATATTTTTAATTAAGATATTCATTTATTGTGTGAAAAGACTTAAATGCCCTTGATCAAAAAAACCCTACCAACCACCTTAAACAGCAACAGCTGTTGCTACCTCAACACAACTAACTATTAGTCAGAGGAAAGAAATCGAACCAAATGCCATAGAAACCAAAGAGGAAAAAATCAAACTAAAGATCCAAAAGTCAAATACAATATCTAAATAAAATAAAAAAAATCAAGACCAACATATCTAGAAAGTATTGAGATGGATAAAAAAATCATATGAAAAAAAAAAATGAATCAAAGAAAAATGAAATCATTCATGTTGACGATGTAGATTTAGAAAGGATTGAGATGATTGTAATCACTCATGTTGAAGAGAATTTGAGATGCAGTGGAGATAGAAATCAAAGAGAAAATGAATTTAATGTTTGATATATAGATTGAAGAGAAACTTGAGGTGTTAATAGAGTTGCTTGCAATGGTGATGACAGAGTTGAAGGACGCCATAGAAGATGTGGAAGAGATAATGCAGGTGGAGGACATTTTAGTATGTGGTTGAGCACAGCCATAGCCCACCTTCTCGCTTATTTCACCACTAGCTTCAACCTTTGCTGTAGCTTTGTCGTTGCCACCGAGAGAAGCCATTTAGGAAGGAGGTGGGTGATTGTCAAGAGAGAAGGTTGGAAGGGTCATTGTCATGGAAGAGGAGAAAAGGTTGGCAAGGATAAAGATGGAAGTGAGGTCTGATGGAGCTAGTTCTATAAGAGGTATGATGGAATCAAGTTCCATCAATTTTGGTGGAACTTAGTTAATCAAGATTTTATGTATCAAACATCTATAAAAATGAGTTTTAATTTCATTCCTACTTTCTTGATCCTAATTCCATATTATCAAATGAGCTATTATAGATTTTGATAAGTAATTTGAATTTGATTGACATATTTTATTTCATTCATATGTTTCATATTAGCAATCTAATTTTCATATCATTTTTCTTAAAGGTTATTTTATCTTACAAAATTTAAGAGGAGTAACTTGTTAATTGAAGCAAACATTGAGGATTACAGTGATAAAAATTAAAATTAAGGAATCAAATCGATAGAATCTCAAACTTAAAGGACTAAAAGTTATTTTATGTCAAAATTAAATATTATAAAAAAAATTAAATGGATAATTGGGATGAATGGAAAGGACCAAAAATTACCATTCATGGAAATCACCACGGAAGATTTAACATTCCATTTCCAACTTGAGCGTGCGAAACTAAACTTGACGATCTGGGCCCGCGGCCGGTGCGCGGCAGCTCTGGGTGCAAATCATCGATTCAAGCTTCTGAAGAAGCCGATGCCATAAACGATTCTTGCGTCTCAATGCCTCGCGATCCATTTCAACTCTTCTTCTAATTCTCAAATATATCCTTCTGCTGCTTTTGTTATCACGTTCCCATCAGCTCGTTCGCAATTTTTTACCTTCATTCCCAAGCCATTAACTCTCCTCACCAACTTTGACCCCAACTCTAGTATTTAATGGAAGTTTTTTCCCCCCTCTTCAGATCTCTGATTCTCACTTCATTTTCTATCTCCGATGGTATTTCCTAGCAATTGCACTCTGTCTCTGAATTCCCTTCTTAGTAAATTTTCGCATAATCGTTCGGCGAAGAATTTGGACCATTTTTTCTGATTCTATGCTTCGTAAACCCAATAGATAGATGTGACTTTGGGAGGGATCTGGGAACCCCGAAGGACGCGAAGACGGCGATGTTTGGGGCCATACAGTTAGGTTTGTTCGCGGCGTGTGTGGTGCTTTTTGTGCCGATGGGTATGGCGGGCTGGCATTTGAGCCGAAACAAGATGCTCTTCTTCAGCGGTGCCCTCTTCATCACACTCGCTGTAGGTGTTCACCTCACTCCTTACTTTCCTTCAGTATCTGATTTCGTTACTTCTGTGTCTTCTATCGTTGTTTTGGACGATCGCAATTCTTGCTTTTCTTCGCTGCACGAGATTGATTGGGAAGTGAGGGCCAGCAGCAACTATGATCCTTTGAATAATAATTCTCTGAATTACGACAAGTCTTGGTATTGGAGGCAAACTAGTTCGGTTGATTCTTGCGAGTTTCAGAAGTTGAAACGGCCTGATGTTGCGGATTTGCTTAACGGGTCGTGGGTAATGGTGGCGGGGGATTCCCAAGCGCGGTTCTTCGCACTTTCGCTGCTAAGTATGGTTTTGGATTCGGAGCAAATGGAATCGGCTCGAAAATTGTTGTTTAGGAGACATAGCGATTATCAAATCGTCGTTAATGAGATTGGGATGAAATTAGATTTCATATGGGCACCTTATACGACCAATTTAACTGATTTGGTGAAGGGTTTCAGTGAAAGTCGCAATTACCCTGATGTTTTGGTGATGGGTTCAGGTCTATGGGATATGCTTCGCATCACAAATGCTTCAGATTATCGCGTCTCGTTACAATTACTAAGGAGTTCTATAACATCACTTTTGCCTATCTCACCAGAATTTGGGACGGAGGGACCTGGGACAGGTTCTGTGTCGGTTAGATCGTCAAACTTGTTTTGGCTTGGGTTGCCGACTTTGATTAACTCCATGTTGAATACAGAGGAGAAGAGGGAGAAGATGACTGATCTTATGAGAGTTTCGTATGAGAGAGAACTTAAAAAAAGCAAGATTTTACAGCAATTTGGTGGTCCCTTTCAACTACTAGATATAGGATCACTTAGTTGGAATTGTGGGATCCGATGCACGGATGATGGGATGCATTATGATGGAGCTGTCTATGAAGCAGCGGTTCATATTTTGTTAAATGCATTGCTAATTGTATCTCATCAAAAGCTCTGAAGCTTGTAGAATTGGTTTTCTCCTAGAGGCACCTGGCTCCCTTCAAGGGATATACTTGGTAGGATAACAATTTTGATTGTAGGTTGAATTTTCTTTCCTAGTTTGATCTTTGTCTTATGTTATTGTATATTTCTAATTTTTTCCTGGGACCATAGATTTAATTAGGTGGTAGAGTTATTATTGTTGCAAATCACATGTTACATTCTTTTAGTTCCTTCTTTGTCTTGCTCCTCTGGACGTTAACAGATCATGTAGTCATAAGCTGGTATAATTTCACATCAAATTCTCATGTCAGAGAAAATTTAAATTTCTGTATAAACAATTGATATATGCTTTACTGTATAATAGGCATTCATTTCTTGTGGTTTATCCATTTGGCTAACTAGAATGTTGCCGTTTGTCATAGTGCTCTATTTTCTAGAACCTGAGATGATTGCGTTCTTTTCACGACGCATAAAGGTTCTCTTCTCCTATCTCTTGATTCAAATTTTGAAGATTTTGCTATCTGTGTGATCATGTGCCATGCTTAGTGCCTTACTTGTTGGTGATTGGCTTTACACAAGTCACTGTATCTGTTCTCACTTTCACTGCTTGGTACCATTTCATTTCTTTAGTTTTTGACCCCTCTATATCCCTTTAGGCTAGATATATTTGTTTGAGCTTTTTTTTTTTTTTTTAATCCATGATTACTCTCTAGGAATACTAGTCTAAACCATTCTCTTCTTTTTGATTGAGTACTAGTGTAATCCAATTTGGGGAACTATTGGGTACTAAATGTTGGTATATCTCCCAACGAGAATTCAAATCTTAGTTTGTTAGTAAACCATTCTCTTCTGTTAGGCGAAGGATGTAACGCACTCAAGCGGTGGAGTTGAAGTTTGATTCTGACACAACTATAAATTCAACATGTCTTCACTTCTATCTCAACTAGAAATTTCTAAATTCATGTATGATGATGAGTTAGTGATAATAGCCAAAATGTTAGACATAAAGTAGAAATATATGCTAAAAGATTATAGTATACTCTGTTCTGTAGCCCTTGAGAAGGGACAAAGAGTGGAACTCGATGGAAGAGCCATTTTGGTTTATCAGGAGTTTCATGTGACATTTAGGCCAGGCTCAAACAGTAAAGGTAGGAGGGTTAAAATTAAACCAAGGAAAATCTTAGTTTCCTTTCTTTTGCCCATTTCGTAGTTAAAAATCTTCATGCCAAGCACACCCTAAGTATCCGTGGAGTTTATAGGCAAGGAATTAGGACCAATTTTGTTTATGATCAACTTCTGTGATGTGTGGTTTTTGACAAATACTCTATATATTAGTTAAGACTTAGGATACTACCATTTTTTTTTTAATAGCCAATTAGTTAGTCCCCCCCCCCCCAAAAAAAATAAAATAAAATTGAGAGCTAATTGTATTTGAGCATCATCAATACAATTATAAATATTTAGGGAGTCGCATTGTACATAGTATAGTTAATCTTAAACCCTGTGTCGGCTCGTACTTTTTTGGCGATGAACCCAAAAAGGAGAATCCGTATATCCGTGTAAATTATGGAATTCAATGTTGCTTTCTTGTGTTGGCAAAGGGAAAATGTTGGTTTCTCGTCTTATTACTATGATTACTAATACGCTTTTCTGATTATTCTACAAGCACTCTTTTTTTTCAAGGCATAAAATGAAGGCATCTGATTATTAAGGTTACACAATTTTTTTTTAACACTTTTATCATCAAATTTTCAATATTTTGTTAACATTACATCACATATTCCATTCTTTGAATAAGAATATATACAAGGTTAGCACGCATTCCAGTCACTTAAGCTTGATTGATGACATATTCTGTGTTTTGGCTTCTGTAAGATGGGGAAAAATTGATTGTTCAAATGGAAGTACGTATATGACATCGATATCAATATCATACCTTCATTTTATTGAAAAATTGATTATATCATACTTGTCATCAGCTTTAATCCCGAACGTTGGTTGATTTTAGCGGAACAATGTGAAAATGGATAACCTTTTCTTTAAGCGCAGGCTAAGATAATACTTAATAGTATACCCTTCTTGAGCAGAAGAACCATTCGGAGTGATTCAAATATTTAAGACTAGTTCCTTACATACATGGCTGAGCCAAAATATTCACCGACAGGTATGTCTTCATCCAATAGCTCCTTCAATAATGAACATAAATAGCTTCATTCCTCCACGTTGGAAGGAAGGAAACAACCATTAACTCACCTAAGACCTAAGACGTAAAAGATAAAAACAAAAATGTATGAACGAAATGAGATCATATTCACCTATACCATGCGAGCCACCAATCCACAATTTCAACAAAGTTTCTGCGGTTTACACCGTCTTCTCCAAAACGTTAGAAAATCAAAACATAAAAAATTGTACAAGAAAGCTACCTATACCTATTCTCTTGAGGGATCTTTGTTTGTGGGATAGGAGACATGGTCCTCCAGAGTCCAGTATTTGTTGTGATGCTTTCATGACTCAAATTGCTTGCCTTCAAAGGTTTGTCCGAAGCTCCAATCCTTGGGAGCAACATTATAAGACGTCACTGTTAGCCCATCACTGCCAGTGACCTCAAATGAAAGAGGTTGGTTCTGTAGTAATGCATTTACATGCCAGTTTTGGCCCCAATTCCGACCCATTGGAAGCCAACCAGTTCTTGATCCCTTCACCTTCACCGCCACTATGTCTCCAGCGCCTGCTACATTGCGGATCAGCACTGAGATATAAATGCCAGAACCTGTTATTGTAAACCGCATTCCTCCTTGCTTTCGGCACTTTATCCTACAGGGGCAATACCCAATCAAATTGATAGTATGAAGTCTGGTCAATCGATAATGAAATGACCAAGTTTCCAAGAACAAGTTGTTTGACACTTTGATACCCCCAAAAAAATTGTACAATATGTTTTATCATCTGAATGTAACTTATATTGGGAAATGGAAAAAACTTTTCTTTTATCACAAGTTCCTTTATTAGGTACTTGATATAAAATTTATATATTTTTTGCTCACGAGCCTCCAACTACTTCAAGTTAACCCCCCTGTCCTCCTTTTTACCCCTTTATTAACTGTAAGTAACTTTTCCTTTCCTTTAAAGGAAGGAATCATATAAGGATCCTTCACAATGATCTACTAACTGCATTCTATGTACCCAACACAAGAGAAAGGGTGAGAGAACTGCAGCATGCTATCTTAGGTTCCTAACCAAGTAGCCTGTCTGAAACATGTTCATAATTTACTGTAAAGCTTCATCCTTGTTTCCTCTCGATGAATCACACCATTGTTCATCCTTTATTCAGATTAAATATATTCTATCTAAACAAAACCTTTATACAATGCAGCTCTTGAACAACGCAAAAAGAAAGCCTATGCACAAGTCAAGAGGCCAATGACAATAAAAGAATTCCTTGAATTTAACTTGAGATACTCAAAATGACCTTGTTGGCTTCACCACCATAATTTATGAATCTTATTCTCAACATGTCTTCCCACCTTGTTTTTTGAACTCATTCAACTGAATAATCTAAAGTCTAAACAATCAAAATTTGATCACAGCAGTTTCGATTTCAATATTTTCTCCATTTTCTTTTGTCTGAATAATTTTTATTAAATTTATAGTTAGAAAAACATGTTCATTATGTGATCTACCTTCTTTAAAAACCAGAAAACAACATTGTTAGAGTAGGGGGAGAATAGTTGAAATCTGGACTGTTCAAATTGAAAAATCCAAATTGCTCAACTGAACAATCAAGGGATCTTAACAACGATCCCTTTTCCTCAATCCTCTTCCCAGACCTTTGTCAGTTCAAATTTGCAGCAATCACTTAAATTTTAATTTAAGACTTTTTATGTTCACCTTAAAAGGCCAATGCACTCATCCATCCTTAGATACCTCTTCAAGACCTTAGTAATCTTACGTAACCTTAGATAGAGAATAATGAAAACTTTCTGTAAACAAGTAGTGTAAAAAAGCAGGACATAAATTTCTCTCTCCTTTTGCTCACACCAACATTGAAATATCACATCTTTGGTCAGTTGCTTCTCCAACACAGACATTGGAGAACCCATAGCTCTTATTCCTTTAGGAAATCATTTCACAGCCCAGAGGGCATGAAAGTTATACACACAAACAGCCTTCCTAGACATTATGAATTCAAGGGTTGTAATGATGTTCAATGAAAGCATATAATTTGATCCTCTATTTGTAGGGTCTTTTAAATTTAACCATAGTCTTGACAGAAGATAGAATCGATATTGTTCAGAGAGCACTGCCTTAGTTCTCTGTAAACGACCAAATCTTGCAGATCCTCTCTCAGTCACTCACTTTGCATTATTGCACATGTTCCCTCCCTCCTCCACAACCTCCATCTCTTGAATCCATTGCACCTCCTTTAAATTATGCTTAGAAATACAACCAGATGATACCAACACTATAAACAGTCATGGCTTCATCAAGCACTGCCCTACTGAGAACAGCCAACCCAGGCTTCCTCAAGTTCAACTGAACGAGCATGTCCATTGTTCTTTCTTTTCACAACTGGACCTAATTAATGTTGTTGGTAAGTGGTTTTTACTATAAATTCATGAAAAAAAATTTATGCTTTATTAGAGGTTACAGTTAGTTTCAGTGGGGGCTACAACTTGGAGTGCAACTTCTAATATCAGGAGTGCTTATATTTTGATACATGCTCTCTCACATCATAGTTGACACTTGACATATCGCATTGGTGTTTCTTCCGTCATATATTTGGATTTAAAGTCTATAACATTTCCCATTGCTCTAAGGTCCACACTGATGGCAATGAACACAGTCTTCATTGAAACCTGTGAACTCAGTGGTTGCAATGATAGAGGGAATGAGTCCTTTAAATTTAACATGCGTTAAGATGTCTAAGTTACTCCCTTCGTCCTTATATATATATAAGGCGTTTTCTAGAAGCATGTATTAACCCTAAGGTGTGTTATAATAATATTGATTAATTGGCCAATTTTGCCTTTGTTTTGAAAAGGAAAAAAGATATTAATTGTATATTTTACACACCAGCATGATAGCAGTTGTAACACTTATTAATGGCAAAACTGAAAAATCATTATAATTTTATGAATTTTTAATTAAATAGCAAACTTTTTGGACCAACAATTAAATAGCAAACTTTAATTGATAGAATTTAGTTACAAACATCCTATAGGACGGAGGGAGTAACTATTTTCTCGACATTAACAACCGTAAGTTGTCTTCATAATAAAAGTATTAAGTGGGCCATGGAAAAAATTGTCATTGAAGTAAGTCAGGGACGCTAACTAGGGCGCCAACCCCGAATTGGAAGCGCAAGTTAGTAAACCGAGCGCATGTTAGCGCGTGAGTTCAGCAATCAGCAGCTCACAAAGAACACTGCTTTCAAACACACTAACAGGTAGAATAAACCATAATCAATGGCGAAAAATGATAGAATAGGTGCGAAACTACCTCCGATACTGAACTGGCATGTTCCCAGCTTTCCAAATAGCGATCTTCTCGAAAGCTTCAATCGGGAGTACGAAATGCTTGTTGGGAGGGTTACAGCGGCCACCTCCCTCGGCGGTGAACCCATAATTGGGCGCACAGAAATTCGTAGCAGTAACGATTATGGAGGTTCCGGGAATGCACCAGCGAAGGTCCTCGACACACCGGAGCTCGAAGCAGGCACCGCAGATCTGGCCCCGTTCGAAGAGAGACTCACTGAGACCCGCAGTGCCCATGCCATAACCAGCTTTGACAAGGTCACCATAGCCGCACGCACCGCCTACCGCGTCCCTGGGATCTGCGGCGGCGTAGTAAGTAGCGTGCGCAGATCGCCATTCGGAGAGCGAGGAGGAAAACGAAGAATGCTGACCAGAAGAAGGCGGCGAAGAGGAGGAGTAGTAATGTGAGGTGGCTGTTGAAGAGAGTGTGAGTAGAATTGCTAGTGTGCAAAACAGAGCAAGTGAGATTTCCATGGACTTCCCTGAGACGTGAGAGAGAGAGAGAGAGAGAGAGAGAGAGAAGGGGAAGGCAATAAAGGAAAAAGAGAGATGGAGCGAACTAGTTAAAAGAAGAGAAAGCTGTGAGCATGATAATGGATTGTCTAATTCTTTAACGGAAGACGACAAGTGGTGCACGCTCTTTTCTATGGTTGAAACTAGAAAGTAGAAATAAACTTTATTATTTACATTTTTTATTTTCATTTATTTCTTTTAAAAAATACTTTGTCATTAATTAATGTTGATGATAGAATCAGTATTTCACGCATATTAGATTTATCCAAATCAAGCTTAAAATATCTTACTCTATTAAAAAAATTTATATAATTAAATTTGATCCTAACTTTTTCTAATTAGATTTGGAATGACCTGTCATATTTGGTTAAAATTGTCAACTCTATATACATATAGAGTTGAAAATTTTAGCAATCAAGTTTATTCAAATTGGACTAATTTGAGCTGAACTTAAAGGCCATGTTTGGTATGCAACATTAAAGGGTTGGGTTTGGCATTGGCATTGAATAAGGCTCAATTTAATGTGTTTGATGCAAAGCATTGGCTCTTACTTGGGTTTGTTGAAACCCACTTAGATGGGATTACACAAACCCACCTCATACCTGGTACTGAAAAATTAAACCTAGGTTTGCAATATTTTATGACAATATTATCCATGGTTATAATATTTTTTGGACAAGAGTGCCCCTGTTGAGTTTTTGCCCTGATAAAAGCCATCAGCATCGCAAACCTCAAGTCAGAATGCATCTCCATTGCCGTCGCAAGAGACTCGTCCATTGATTTGCCCTGTCGCCATCTCCTTTGCCGCGCCTTCAGGTACTGTTGCTCCATCCTTCCCCTTCGTCGATCTTCTTCTTCCATCTTCTTCGTATCTGGCTTTTCCTTTTCCATATTTTGTTTCTTCATCTTTTTTGCTCGGTTAGCTATTGATGTCTCTGTTTTTTATTTATTTTCCGTTTTTCCAGCTTGTCTTTGTTTGCTATTCTTCATTTTATTTGAGATATCTTCTTTTTCCATCTTCTTCGTAGCTACTTTTCCTTTGATTAAATCTGACGAATACTTTCTGCTCCATTAGCCACCGCTGCACTTACTAATTTTTGGCCCTTTCCCTTCTTTGTAATTGTAAGTTGTAACTTTCTAGGAGCTTTTGTAGCTTCAAGGGACATTGATATCTTCATTTTCTAACTTACAAGGCAGTAAAGAGTCATAGAAGCCTTTAGGAAGAGTCGAAACACGATATTCCTTCTGTGCTTTAAGTAGAGTGTGACAATGTTTTCTTCGTTTGAAAATTAAATCTCTTGTATCACATATGCTCTGTTTAACTGCCCTAAAATGGCTCCAGATGCAAGTTATTTAAACAATACTTAGATAATTGACTATCCAAATCAAAACTATATAATGACAAAAAGGAAATTAGAGAGAGCCAAACAAAGAACTGTCAAACTGAAAGAACAAAAAAAAGGTGGAATTTGAAAACATATATTTTTTTTTATTAAACCAGAAAGCCTCAAAATCAGTGACTTGTTTGCCAATTATGATGTGAATATCCAAAGGACAGTATTTTACTATCGATTTGGTAAGTCTTTCAATGCAAAAAGTGATATAATATCTCAAACTCCAAAATGCAAAATAGCATTGCCACAAGGAAACATGCAGATCAACCATTGCAAAACATATGCATATCAACAAAACTACAAAATATAAGGATATTGCAAGAAAGAGATGTCAATAAAAGGTCTGCAAATAATCTAAACCATTACATACTCATTTGATAACACTATCATATCATCAGTAATATATTTTGTAGTTATGTAGTACTATTTACTATTCATTTTCAGCAGCTAAAATACATTTATTATATTTTTTTGAAGAAAGTTATCACTGTGATTTATTGTTAACCACTAATTACTTTTATTTAATTATATATGTTAAATATTAATCTTTTATGTATCTGTATAATTGGTACACAGTTATGGCACTATCTGAGGAAAAGAGAATACTATTACGTTTGTTTCTCTTCTGGATGAGCATGACTGAGGCAGTGTATGCGTTTTGTATTTGTATGTGTATGACTATCATGCTTAGGAGACAAAGAATCAGACATATACCTTACAAAATGGATTTTATTGCTAAGAGATCTTACCTAAAGAGAATGATGTCCAGCAGTGATGTAGCATGTTACAACTTACTTAGAATGCATAGATCAACATTTGATAAGTTGTGTTCTATGCTAACGGATGTGGGTGGTCTTAAACCTAGTAAGAACATGCTTGTAGATGAACAAGTTGCCATGTTTTTACACATACTAGCACATCATGTGAAGAATAGAGTAATACAACATAACTTTGGTAGATCGGGAGAAACTATTAGTAGGCATTTCAACTCAGTACTTACTAATATGATGAGACTTGGAGATATGTTGTTGAAGAAACCAGAGCCAGTGGCCGATGACTCTAACGACGAAAGGTGGAAGTGGTTTAAGGTAAATATACATGTTATGTATTTATCATTATTTTTGAAAGTTGTGTGAACAATTTATATTAACTTTTTTCTACTTTTCTATTTTATAGAGTTGTTTAGGCGCCTTGGATGGAACTCACATCAAGTTAAGAGTTCCTTCTCTCGACAAGGCAAGATACCGAAATAGGAAAGGAGAGATAACTACAAATGTGTTGGGTGTTTGCTCACAAGATGGTTTCTTTATATATGTTTTGCCTAGGTGGGAAGGGTCTGCAGCAGATGGACGGGTTCTTCGTGATGCCATAAGTAGAAGGAATGGCTTAAGAGTTCCACAAGGTCACTATTACTTGGTTGATGCTGGGTACACCAACTGTGAGGGATTTCTTGCACCGTATAGAGGGCAAAGATACCATTTAAGTGAATGGAGAGAAGGGCGACATTCTAGAAGTGCACAAGAGTGCTTTAATATGAGACACTCTTCTGCACGAAATGTAATTGAGCGGTGCTTTGGTATTTTGAAGTTAAGGTGGGCTATACTAAGAAGTGCATCATTTTATCCCATTCAAACACAAAACTGAGTTATAATTGCTTGTTGCCTCCTCCACAACTTAATTCGTCAAGGTCTGAAAATGTGAACTTAGACCATAGTTAGGAGAATCTCAAAACCATCTATAATCATGGTAAACGATGTTGCCAAGGTCTGAAAATGTGAACTTAGACCATACAGAATATATGGAGCTTAAATGAGTCATAAAAAATAATTAACATAACATGCCAACATCAATAAGAAAACACAACAGATAATAGCTTCTAAAAAATATAAGCTGGCAAAGTGCACGACAGGCACCAACTTTCACAGGCAGAGGCCTATTACAATTAGAAGTTTAAGTAAAGGCAACTTATAAGAAAAATATAAGCTACCAAAGGACAAATGCGCTCACACATCTATTGTGATTGCCTTCACTGCTGCATAAAGGAAATGTTCTAGAACACTACTGCTTAGCTGTACAATAAATAAGTAAGAAGACCAAAAGAAAGAAATTGGACTATAATAAATTAGAAAAATAACAGTTACCATGGAGGAGAATGTAGCAACTAAAGCAAAAATACGAGCATAAATAAAGGGGTATTCATGAGAACGTACCAAGGCTTATTGCTCATAAATTGCTAGAAATACAAGAACAGGCTTTTGAATATTTGAATTTGTCCAGAGTTGCAGATGAGCAGAAATACAATGATAATTTCTAGCCATAAAACTGAACTAAGGTGATATCTTGGGTTCCATCTACACAATCATATGTATGTGTATGCATGCACACGCATGTGCATTTATGTCTGTGTTGGTGTCCTCAAAATAATGGAAAATCATCAAGTCAAGATTGAGAAGAAGAGGAACAATAGACTTCTTATTAATTAATTAAATGTACATGTACATTTTTACAAGAACTATAACTTGAAGAACCAAAAAGGAAAAGAAAAAGAAGAGGAGGAGGAAAAAACTAAACTTGTTTACTGATTTAATCAGCTTCCTACAGTCCAATTCCTGACATAAAAATCATAGCACTTTTCACACAAGTCCTTAACCTATAACAATCCATACTGAACAGCACCAGAATGTCTGTGAGCTGCAACAGCTACTGCTGTGGCACCAACTGCATCAAAGTGAGATTGTGCCTGTAGCAGCTTCACAACTTGTAAGCCTGGTGTTGCTCAATGGTTGAAGCATCAAAACCTTTATTAGAGATTTCAAAATGAGAATCTAATCCATCAACAAGTTCTTCTCCATTACCAACAGAAGACCTCCGGCTTCATGGTTGCTATCAGTGGCTTTAGTCTTCTTGGTTGAATGAGGATCTGGAATGCACAATTGTCTGTTCATCCAGTCTCCCATTGATTTTAAAACAGCAACCAAGCATTTCATGGCCTCAAATTTCAGCGTTGCCTCTTGAGGGGGCAAAAGTGAAGTTGCTACACTAGGTGGGACACCCTGTGCAATTTTAAGAAGTCCATTAACCATCCTACAAGGACCACAACAATTGAATGACAAGCAACACCAGCTGAAATAGTTTCAAAATTGATCGAGGAATGCAATGCTAAAAAATATAATATATAAAGTAAATTTTGGGAGAAAACCTCACCTCTCAATTATGTTTAATGAAGAAATATCATCTTTTGCTTTCTAGTGCAATGGCAAAGGATATGCATAGTATGGACTAATTTAGGGCTCTCAGAACAATCATAAGGAAAAAAAACTCCAATTTCTACTTTTAATCCAATTCTAAATCTTGATACAAGACTGATGAAAATGGAGCAAGATAACTGGAAAACTATCATAAGAGTTGAAGCACTATTCTTCAATAATAATAAACATAAGCACTGCTAAGACCATGTACATGCATGAAAAGCATCCCCTTTCAAAATGAAACATGTTTTACAAGTTCAAAAAGATATTCAACTCCTAAGTTTCACAAAAACATCCCCGTCGCATATGGCAATGTAGATGGTTCAACAGTTTCAAACCATACCAGGATTTTTCTGCATGACCCTTTAAATATTGCGCTCAACATTTCTCTGAAGTATTGGCAAGACCTCTTTTTGGTCTGTCACTATAACATCACACCCCAGCAAAGCCATGCCTGCAAAGTGCAAAAGAAGCACGAATCGAATCATATCAGATATCACCATTCAACCAAAGTAGGGCAGCCAGAATAATTTGAGCCAAGGGATGCAAGTAGGTAGCCTGAATTAATTCAAGAACAAATTTTTAATTCCTTGATTATAATATTAAAAACCCACCAAATCCAGAAACTCCACAACCAGCCCCAGGTTCAATTACACGTTTTCCTTTAAGCTTAGCTGGGGAAAACTTCCCCTTTCTGCAATTTTTTTCCCGAATCAATGAAAGATGCAATCTGGGAGTTAAAGTCATCTAAATTCAGAGTTATTGCTTAATTCTTTTGCAAAAACAAAATGGCAATACCTGACACGCTCCGAAGGGAAAGCAAAGTAAATCAAAGGCTTCGTTCGAAGGCTTCAAAGCATACCTGAAATTTTTGTCTTAGAGGCACTTACGAGTTGATGGAGCTGAGAGAAATCAGAACGGCACGAACGAAACCTTTCGCAATATGGAGCTCAACGATCGAAAACAAAAGCCGGAGATCTCTGAGTTCATCGTTGCAGAAGTTCACCAGCGAGAAGAAAAAATGACAAGATGAAGGGGCGATGACGTTTTTATTGGGTTTTTATTTTCTATTTTTATTATTTTAAAGGGTATTTTTGTCTTTTTATAATTTATATTTAATTAAAAAATAAAATGAAATAAGGTATTTCTTGAAAATATTCCTATGTACCAAACATAATTTTAAAACTTTATACCCAATCTCAATCCCAATCCCTCAAAATTGAAACATGCGTACCAAACAGGGCCAAAGTATTTTACCTTTTTAAAAAAGCTCACATAATTAAATTTGGTTATAACTTTTTTTCGACTGATTCGTCGGATTTAACCCAAATTGCCGGCTGTAGTTAATGGTATTAATATCAATTGAAAATTAAATAAATTTTTTTTACTCCATCACTTAAAAGTTAAAACATCTCGTGTGAGGATTTTTTTTTTATTTAATGTTATTATATGTACAACACTCAGACTCAAAATTTCATAATAATTTTTTATTACTCAAAAATTGTTAAAGAACATAGGTTTTTTATTTAAATTTTATGGAGAATTGCATACAGATTTTAAATACGAAAACTAATTATTTACAAGTCTTGTTCATTTATAAATGTTAAAATTTAACATGTTAATATAGAATTTGGCTTGTAAATATTTTGAAGAAATAATTTTTTATCTAGAACTTGATTGTATTTTTTTTTAATTTTACTCCCTCCATCCATACATGTAAAGTGTTTTTTAAAATTTTATTTTGTCATGGCAAAAAAAGAAGCTTATTTCATCCCCAAATATAAAAAATATTATAATAATTTTAAATAATTGAATAATTTTACTCTTATCTTAAAAAGGTAAAGAGATATTAACTATGTATTTTACTCACAACCACAATATTAATTGTGACATTTATTAGGACAAAACTAAAAAATGTTATTATTTATGAGTTTTCAACTAAAACAAACTTTTATTAGTATGTGAAATTTAGTTAAAAAATAAAAATATCTGATATATAAAACAAAGAATGTAAGATATTTTAGCTTTAATTTATAATTTATAATTAATCCCATGGGCTCAAATACTCAATACCCTGTTCCTCATAGCATTTGGCTAATTGCAAATAGTAAATACTTTACTACATTTCATAATGTGGGCGAAGGATTAGATTCAAGGACAACATGACTCTAGTAAACCTTTGTACTATATATATTTAGAACATTTATTGTTATTGATAAGTTATTTTTAATATATTTTATCAGAATCAAGACTTTTTAACTCCATCTCTATTTATAAAGAAATAAGTAAGAAGTTTAGGAAAATTTTAATAATATACACGAACATTTAGTAAGGTAAAAGAAGAAAAATTATAATAAAAAATTCATGTTATGTTTTATAACTGAGATTAAAAAAAAAAATCCATATCTTTACTAAATATGACACGAGGGAGTATATTTATAAACACATATACAAACATCCACTCATTTTGATCTGTAAGTAGTGCCAAAATTTAAGCCTCACTAGTATTGATTACGCCACGGACAAGAGGTCCTCGTGGTAGTAATGAAAACTCGAACTAGACCTTTTTGAATAACAGAACAATCAGCACCCAATTTTTCTTATTAGAACAGTCAGTGCGCAAGTTATAAACTTAGCATATAAGGAAGCTTAGGCTCGTTGACTAACAAGACTTATTTCTCTCTCAAACTTTCAACCACCACTTAAAAGATGAGATTTTTATCACTCACTCACAACCTACGTCCCTACTTGCCCATTTTTCATGTACGTATGCTGCCACGAAAAGAAGAAATGTCATGTCTTAAAGGGAAGCGAAGTATGAAACTAAATGAACATCTCACTAGCGTGAAAGTCTAAAGAAAGAGCTATATAATTTACACTTGCCTAAGGGAAAAGAACACGTAGAATCCCAAACACCTGATCCCCCCATCACAATGAATATGAATATATTTACTAAGCTAATACCTACTGGTTTCTAGAATTCACATTTAACTCTCACTAAATCAAATCAAGTTCACAAACACACAGAGGGAGCATGAGAGGGAGGAAAAGGAAAATATTTTGTGGATTTTTCCTTGAAACACCTGAAAGTAAATAAACAAAAGCAAAGTAACTAAACTTAGCACGTATGGGAAAATGTAAAAATTTTGAAACACATCCTCAAAGTCACTCCTTAAGTTCAGAGAGAAACAAGGAATGAAGAATAAGACATGGGAAACCCGTATGACATATTAGTGAGTCCAACATATTACATAGACAAGCCCCACCTCTCCTCTTCCTCCTTAAAGTTACAGGTGAATTTAGAGGATTCTTGTTCCATAATTTCCACAATTCTTAGGTCCCTTTACTTCCTTATCCATACCAGCTGAAAGAGCTGAAAATGGGAACAACTGCGAAGAATAATCCGTTATTGGAAATTCATTACAAGGAAAGGCGAATTCGTTATTCTTTCCTCTCCTCTTATGTCACTGATGAGGCCTGGCTTTCCCTCTCTGCAATGCACCTCTTATATGGCACAAACCCTTTCCCCCAGTTCGTCTGTCTCCCACCAAAATCAAATATAGCTGAAGTATCTCTTTTGGCTTGCATATCTGATTGTTTACCCTCATTTACAGAAGAGCTAGTGTTTGAGTTAGTCAAAGATCCTTCATTCTTAACTTCTACCCGTTCCATTTCCGTAAGATTGGAGTCTAGTTGTTTTCCTTCAGGCTGCTTCTTGTGCAGCAACCTTATGTGAGGAAGATTCCAACAAGGAACAAAAGAAGCAGAAGGACACTCTGCAAGCCCTGAATTTCCACTCTGAAGCTGCATGTTATAAACAACACCATGTGTTCCATTAGGTAAAGTATTAATATCACATTCCACATCTGGGCCAGAAGATTTCACTGGCAAGAAGTTTGAGTGAATCAACTTGCATGTTTCCATTGTTTGAGAGGATGTCCCGCGGTTATCAGTTACTAACAAAGTTGTCCCAAAAAGCTTCAGAACCCGAGCAGATGATTCTTCTGTTGTACCTTCTTTGGCAGAGATTCCTTCTTTCTGGAGAAGTTCGTGTTTCTAGACATTAAAATCAGGCAAAATAATATCAAGTCATACAGAATTTTTAATGTGAAATGCATCAATAGACCTAGCTTACAAAAGATAGACCGAAATAATCATAAAGAAACATATATGTGCCTAAGCCCTAAAATACTTGGTCCCCCAATCTTTTAAGCTGAGTCCGTCTTAGATATTTTACTCTTATTAAGCTATAAACTATACAAGTGATGATATGTATTCCACAAATCAAAATAAACAAGTAATTATACCTTATTTGGTAGCTCATCAAGAGTTGAATCATCATTTAGTCCAGCTGATGGTGGACACCCATCCTCCTCTAATTGTAGGATTTCAGGTTCAGCAACTACAAAGTTGTTAGCATGAACAGCACTAATTGATGAAATTGGGGATGAGCTTCCATTTGGTGTGTCTGAATCAGAGGAACCAAGGGTGTCTGAACCAACTGCCGATAACACTGACTTGGGGGATTGGTTTTCCTGGTTAAAATCTGATGATTTCAGAGGATTAGACATAATCAGCTGTTTTGGTTTGGAAGCTTCTTTGTTAGGGAGCTCCACCAGTTTACGAGGGTAAGGATGCATTGGCTTTCGTTTTGGTCGTGGGGGTGGAATTTCAATGGGCTCCATCGAGCTTGTGCTGCTCCCACAAGGATCACGAAGAACCTATCACAAAGACAAAACTAGGGTATCAGAGACTGAACAAGTTTAATCAACCCGTCAACTTCAAGGAAGTTTGCACTTCGCACACCCTTTGGTCATCAAAAGTTTTAGTTACATTAATATATGGCCTAAGGCATATAGAAATTATTTAAAGAACGGGAACTGAAATAGAGCAATAAACCTTAGAAAAAAACTTCTGAGCATGACTTCGAATCTGAACTGTAGTTTTTGTGCCAACATGTTCTGAGGTCAAAATAAAGGATTCCAAGACTTAGACCAAGCTCAACAAACTTCAAATATTCATTCATTTATGTTTATATATCACTGGAAAACCAGATAACATACTTGCCTTAAGATGTAAAAACTATAATTCTAATGATACCTTCAATCTTTCGCCAAGCCCGACCATACATCTTTAAAGCTTCAAGAAACTTCAGATGCTCTTCATCTGTCCATCTCTCTCTTTGTTTCCTGATAGTATACGGTTTCCTTACCTGATGAGGTAGGCATAAAATTTCTTTAGATAGATTCGTCATAGATGTGCAATCAAATACTTGCATATGCTACGCAAAGACACCGGGTTTCACCTTTGGAGCACAGTCATTCCCACAAGAAAACTGATTATTTAGATGAATCCGTGCAACAGAATGTAGTCCAGAGCTCAAAGATACTCCATTTCCTACTGGAATACTACCCCGAGATCTGGTAACTCCATTTTGATCCTGCATCCAAGTTCAAGAGAAAAAACTTGCAATTTAATTATGGTCGAATGATATTCCTAATCTAGAAGTAGCTTTTTAGGCTTCCTTATAATGATTAGAGATAAAAAAAAATTCAAGTAAATCATTCACTTCACATCAAGATATGCAGTAAAATCCTATGAAAAATCACAAATCCTACATTGAAAACCCGTAGGAAACAATAATGGGAAAGTCTGTATACACGGAGTTTTCACTTCAGCAGAGATTAAAAAATAGGAAAGAGCCAACAATCCCCAGCAAACTCCATGAATGAAGCTAACCCTTTTTTTAAACTGCCCCATTTCTGAAATATTGTCATTAAAAAAGGTAAAGCTGGTCATATTAGCTAAGTTCACCGTTCCCTCCTTTTTCCTCCCCTTCCAAAAAAAACAGTACGAAATTATGTCCTGCCCAAAAGGTGTGATCATATTACATATCCCACAAACACAAAAATAACAACCACATAGAGACTCTGACAAAATAAAGCAGAGCAGAACAAATATAATACATACATGAATGGCGATAGCTGCAGACACCATCGGTTAAGATGTTTTCCCGTGTCAAACAGTGCCAAACACTCCACTCCACCGTAATATTTTATTATCTTCCCTTATCCACAGAATCACAAGACCCGATAGGAATCAACCTTTTTAATTTCAATTACCCAAATGAAAATACTACGAAGGGAAATGGACAGTCAATAATTCCATATGGAAGTGGACGCGTTAACTGTTCGAAAATTATCGTGCAAATTTTAAACTGCTCCCAGCTCAGAACTGCTAATCAGCCAGATGAATCCCCTGCACACATTCCATGGCTTCATCCAAACAAATCGAAAGCATGTTGTCACAAGAACGCCAAAAATCCATCAAAATCTTCTTTCCAGAATAAAAACAAGCAAGAAAAATCTGCTATGAATTCAGATACAGCGTAGCAACGGCATCAATGACCCAGTGAAAGGATTAAACCCCGATCAACACACCAAACCAACCGAAAAAACAGCTCGAACAGTTCGCGAGAAAAAATTTAACAACATATGAACCAAATAAGAATCAACAGAGGAACCCGCCACTATCCTTCTGACGATCGGAGATCTTGAATCTTTCAACCTCTGTAATTCGCTCCAGAATAACAAGCCTTTAAACTCCCTAACGAGCTCAAATGGTCAGAATAAGGAAGAAATAGAAAGACAGAGAGATCAAATCTTCGAATTACAGGCGCAAGAAGAAGAAGAACAGAGGGAAGGCACACAGAAGAGGAGGACTATGGACAAGTGAAACGGAGATCGTGGTGAAAAAAATAAGGAAGCGAGGAGGAGATGCCACGTCAGATTTGAATTTCTCGTATTTTTTATTTTCGTCTTGAGAAGAAAACTTTCGCCGTCGAAATCTCGAGAACGCGATTGAATCTTGTGGCTCAAGTTGAAAGAGCGCCTCGAGACGTGGCATTTGAGCGTAGCGTCTCTTTCCCTTCGCGCTTTTATTTTATTTTATTTTATTTTTGTCCTCTCCCCTCTCTGCGATTTTTTTTTTTAATTTGGTGGGCAAATAAAATACCAGCGCATTGTGGATTATTCAGACACAATTCATACTCGCAGAACTGTGGTCTCACCTCTACACTCGCTTCTGAATGTGCCACGTGTGTCGTCCATGATTTCCCAATTCAGTCGTTGCCCTATCTTTATCCACTCCCAAATGCATGAGCACAAATACATCAAATGTACAAGATAATGTAACTTTTGGCGCTTTTAATTTAACGATGTCGATAAGTACATATTTTATAATTAAATAAATATAAATTTTAATTTAAATTTAACTATATTTATTAAGATTTTATATTTATTTAATTAATATTTATATTTTTTTTTCATCACTTAATTATAAGATAAAAAAAATTTTAATACAAAATTCACTCATATCTTTTCATCTATATCCTTTTATCTTTATATTTTACAGAGAAAAAGAATAAATCAAATGGAAGGAAAGAAGGAAAAGAGAAATATATATATATATATTAAAGTCCCACATCGACAAGGAATAAAAGAATAAGCCTCCACTTTAACTATAAATACTCCCTCCATCAAGAGGGAATGCATCCAATCACTTATCTAAATACCTCAAAAATTCTCTTTGAGATATTTGAAGCTCGTAGAAGCATTCTGAAAGTTGAAAGTGAAATCATTGAGGAGTTTCACAAATTATAATTATTTCTTTTCTACTCCTTAATTTTCTCTGTAATCATTTTTCATGATTGGAGATTTTAGAACAGTTTTATTTGATTTTATTATGTGTTTTTAAATTACCCAATTGGGATAAGGATGTAGCCCAATTGAAGAGTTAGTTTTTTATTTCCTTTGTTTTGACTCTTTACATTTATATTTATGAATATTTTTGCTTTTTTTAATTATATTTATTTCTCTTGTTCTTCATATTGATTTAATGACTGGCCACCATTTAATTAAGTCAATGGGTAGTCTTGATGGACTGGGAGGTGAAGAGAGAACCTAGATTTAGAAAAATAAACATAAATAACTAGACTAGGGATAGTTCTAAAAATTTATGGTGACTTAAACTATAGCTTCACGGTTTAATTAGTTGCTTGGGTATCGTGGGAACGAATTCAACACTAATTAAAAAGGGACTAATAATTCGAGAGAATATTAGAACACTTTAGGAATAGTTGTCACTATAATTGATATGAGTCAACTCAAAGGATAGAAACTAGTAATCTATAAGGTAAATCCTAAATCCCAACACTTCAAGTGATTACGTTTTTATCATCATTATTTTTTTAATTTATTTTTATTCCATATATTTTTATCAAAATTATCCATTTTATCTATTTTTCTCGAACTATTAATTATTTAAATTAGTAAAAGTATAACTTCCCTGTGGATTTGACACCTGAAATACTCTGAATAATTTATTAATGTGATTTTGTACATTTGCAAGAGCGATCAAATGTCCTTTTAAGTTGTCCAAAAAAAAGGTTGTTCTTTTAAATTTATAACTTTTATTAATTTAATCTCTCACATTTTCTTAGATAATTATGCTAGTTTTTTAATTTTAAAATATAAGTTAACTCAAATTAATGTAATGTATAAAGTTTGCGACAACTTGTTAGATTTATGTAACTAAATAAAAATTATCAATCTAATAATGTAATGTATAAAGTTTGTGACAACTTGTTGGCTATATGTAACTAAATAAAAATTATCAATCTAACCCCTTTTTGCGATGTTTTATTCTTTTATTTTTTTAAAAATTTTGAGTATGTTTTTTTAACCCAAATTATTACACTTCTCCTCATTAATTAAAAAGTTAATATATAATTTAAACTTTAAACTATAGATTTAGGGACGATTTAAATCTTAAACTTTTAAAAAGTACATTATAAACTTTGAGTAATTAAAGTTTGGGCAATTTCACCCCATCATTAAATTTCAACAAACATCAATTAGTTTTTTAAAAAAGTGGGGCCTGATATGTGATTTTTACAACATTTCACTCTTCCTCTCTCTCCTATTCTCATTTGATAAAAAATACACATTAAACTTCATTTTAATGGATATTTATTTAAATTTAATGGTGGAGGTAAAATTGCCCCAACTTTAATTGTTTAAGATTCAAAATATATTTTTTAAAAGTTTAGAGTTTAAATCATTTTTAGACCTATAGTTTAAATTTAAATTACATATTAACTCTTAATTGAATGACTACCTTCAATATTATATTATTCAAGTCATCAAATTTTAATGGTGTTATCTTTTCTTTAAGCAAAAAAGATTAAAATGATAATTGAATTAAATGCTAAATCAATAAAAATTAAATCTAAGGGATCATATGTCAGACAAATTTGTGGTGGAATAAAGTTTTATCATCCCAAGTATAAAATACTATTTATATTTATTAGTTTCATGATATACTAAGTGTATTTTTATAATTTCATTTATTCTGCCAATAAAATGTCCATGGTATATATATAAATAATTCGGGCCCAATCCAAACGTCATTACATCACATATATATTTTAGGATAAATTTGTTCATTGACCAAAAAATACTCTTGTATCTAAAAAAATATAGATCAAATTTTTAAAAATTTGAGAGTACAAAAGATTCACATTGATATAAAAAAAGTTTATCATTGATATATAAAGAGTTTGTTATTAAAAATTTAAATATTTATAAGAGTTTTATCATTGAAATTTTAAAAATTTATAAAAGGCTTATCATTAATATACAACAATTTATCATTAATAAATATAATAAATTAATTATAATATAAAATATAATAAATATTAAGTTATTTATTTAATTTTATTTTATAATATGGATTATATTTGTGAAAGTCTCATTCTATTGCATTATGTTGTTATGGTCTAAATTATCATCAATTCACCGTCAAGATCGAGTTACACCTAATGATGAGGATTGTCCTCACTTACTGAGCATAACATAAACGTTTACTATATGCGCGCGTCGTTTTCAAAGTTTGTTCTCTCATTTCTAATTTTTTGTCCATCCATTTACCATTTGATATTGGTAAATTATTTTTGTATCCGCACTATTTTGATTTTTTTTTTTTTACCAATGCACTGTCTTGATTGAAACTTCTAGATTAAGAAATCATAATATACATTAACATTGTTCTCACATTACTTTATTTAAAAAGAATTAAATCCCTCCGAAAAAAGAACAATTGAATCCTTATTATTTGATTATGCTTATAAATAAATAAAAAATGCTTAGGTAAATTGGATCCTAGAAATTTATTAAGGCCAAAATATGGCTCCAAATTTTTTTTTATAAAAAACAGTAAAAATGCTTACAAAAAATTATGGATTGCTTATTAATAAGATCATCATATTAATATTAATAATGGGTTTTAAACCCATAACCTTATGAGTTATTAGATAAATATTTATTAATTGGAATAATTTTTTTAATAAATAATAATTTTTATAAGCGAGGTAGAATGTAAATAAAAATTTAAGCTTCAAACTTATACTCCTTTAAATTCTATTTATAAATCATTTTCAAGTTTTAACACGTTTAATCAGAATAAAAAAAACCTTAAACTATATAACTCTATTTAAAAATTTAATAAGTTTTTAACTTTATTCTTATAAAATATGTATAATTTAAAATAAAATACATTAACATTTAATAATATTCTCATCATTTAATAGGGCAAAAGACTAAAAATAAACACAATAACCATTGAGATATCCTATGAATAAAATTAAAATAAATATTTTCTTATTAAAACAAATATTTTTTGGTCTTATAAATAAAATTAAAGGAGTATTGTACATAAAAAAATAATAATAATTTTTATTTTATCTCTTAAGTATTGTGAATTTTAAGCAAAGCTCAAAGATTTGATGTTTTCAAGTGTTTGAATTTCTGGTAAAAAAAAGTATTTGAATTTGAATTGTCCTCTTTCCTCAATCCAAAGAAAAATATTAGAATTATCCACGCCAATATCCCATAAATCAAGCTGAAATTTTGTGCAAGAGATTTTTTTTTTTTAAAAAAAAAGGTACAGGAGGACAAGTGTTTACATCATCATCAGAGAGCGAGTGGTGAAACAACCACGAAGAGAGGCAGCGCAGGAAAGCAACAGCCAACAAGTGAGGAAAAAGATACAAGATATTTTAGATAAATGGGCGGATAAAAAAAAAAAAAGAATTAAAAATAGCTCCATGTGTGACGAGGAGAGAAGGATAAAATATCTGGTGGCTCTAAAATACAACGAGAGTTTCTTGTTGCGCTTTTCGCCACGTCATCGCCACTTGCCGCCCCCACCATAATAACGCCGCCACGTGTACGAGAGAAACAACGCTATGGCTAGTTCCAGACCACTCGTTTTCCTTCCTTTTCCAAAAAAGAAAAATAAAATCCGCTAAATTTTCTAGCCACATACATTTTTTGTGGAATTTTCTTTTTCTTTGGTTTAGAAAAATGGACATTTTACGTAGCGCCAAGTGTACCATAACGTGGCAGGTCACGATATAAATAGACAAAGCATACAAATATTCTCAAATTAAAAGTAGGTTACATATGTTTACAACTTTACAGGAAGAGACTATTCACATTATCCATACCTTAGGAAAAGATACAACTTATTTTTAGGAGGAATGACATTATAACCAAAAATTTAAATTAAATTTACGTAATGATACTTTTTTTTTGCCAGAATCTATATATATTAGAAATTTATTTCAAAAAGTAACTCTCTTATGAACAATAATTGGGGATGTTATTGAAATTTTTTAGAG